ATCTTCTATGTGAACTTTCTTGATATAATATTATATCTTGATTTTTCTATGTGAATTATCTTGATATATTATCTTACGTAACAAAAAGGTTATAATAATATAAGAAATATATTATAATAAATAAGATATTATTAATAAAGATCATTAAATTTATAATATTATATATTTAAATTATTATTTTTATTTATTAATTTATTTTTATTAATTTTCTTTTGCTAGTATCATAATATTAATTTTATTATGATAACATTACTAGTTTTATTATAATAGTTTTACTAACTTTACTATAATAATTTTATTATAAATATTATACTTGTAAAACTATCTATTAATAATATTATCTAATTATTGTTTAATAAAATATAACTAAATAATTGTCTAATAAAAATATGAGTATAAAATAATTAATATTAATAAAAAATTTATATTATAATAATATTTTTATTAATTATTTGATATTTTATTAGAAAAGTCTTTTATTATATAAATATATATTATAAGAATTTAAAAAAATTACTAAATATATAGCAAAAAAATATTATTTACTTATATAGAAGAGTTTTGTATTTAATATTTAATAATACTAATATAAATAACTTGTCAAATTAATCACGTGACTTTTCGCAAAGTTATGTTAAATCGACTTTTTTGTAAATTTTTCAATTTTAAAATTTGAACCATGTCACGTGATTGGTCGGTTTTAGCTTGTATACCTAAGAAACACGTGATTGGCTTGAAAAATTTTGACTTTACCAAAATTATTACATTCCACCAATTCATGCACACTAAATGTTCAGAATTGGATTTCTTCGTCAGCAAAATTATTATTTAGTATTTTCTAGTGCAAAAAAATATAATAAATATAAATATTCTTATACCACTACCACCACTAGTACTACCTTATTTTCTAAAATTTTTACACAACCGTTTTACGAGAACATGGACGAAGCTAGCCTGAAACTTAAAATAAAAGAACAAGGTGATAAAGTTCGTGTGTTAAAAACTCAAAAAGCTGAAAAGGATATTGTCGAGGCAGAGGTGGCTATCTTGCTGGAGTATAAAAAACAGTTGGAAAATGTCACGGGAGAAAGTGGGTCTAGTAGTAAAAGCAAAAATAAGTTTGTTCTTAAGACACCAAAGGTGGGCATTAAATAAACTATTCAATTCTTTTACTAAATAAATTTTGTGATCTAATCGACTGATCATGTTTTCGTTAAAAGTCGACGAAACATCCGTTATTCTATATTTGATTAATCAATATTATATTAACAATCCATCTTTGCATGATTAGGGAACTCGCGATTACAATGAAAAAGAAATGGCCATTCGCGAGAAAATTTTCAACACGATCACTGGTGTGTTTAAAAAACATGGCGCAGTGACCATAGACACGCCAGTCTTTGAATTAAAGGAAATACTGGCGGGGAAATATGGCGAGGATAGTAAATTAATCTATGATTTGGATGATCAAGGCGGAGAAAAGTGCTCGTTGCGTTATGATTTGACTGTATGTTTATGTGTTTTTTTGTTTAAAAAAAAAAAAGGAAAACTTTTCATTTTCTATATTATTTGTTTAAATGTACAAATAATTATTGATATAGGTCCCATTCGCGAGATTTCTAGCAATGAATGGCACACAGTATCAAAATATCAAACGGTACCAGATAGCCAAAGTCTACCGACGAGATCAACCCGCAATGACTAAAGGCCGTATGCGCGAGTTCTATCAATGCGTGAGTAATAAATATTTTGCACAAAATGGGTTGAATTTGACGTGAAAATTTTTATACATCCCAATAGTCTCATATTTTATTCAGGATTTCGATGTGGCAGGATCTTATGACCCGATGGTTGCTGATTCCGAAGTTATTCGAATTATGTACGAATGTTTGACGGCGTTGAATATTGGCAAGTTCACGATAAAGGTACGCACACATACATTATATTATCATATTCCCTCTTTGACCAAATATAACTAATCAATTATATAGATAAATCATCGCAAGATTTTGGATGGAATATTTGAGGTTTGTGGTGTGCCCGAAAACAGTTTACGGCCTATATCGTCGGCAGTTGATAAACTAGACAAGGTGTATGCATAATTAACTAGTATTTGAATTTATTTCAATTGATGCATGTATTTTCTTTTAATAAAGCTCATCATAATTATTTTTATACTGTGATGTGAATAGTTGCCATGGGAAGATGTGAAAAAGGAAATGACTGATGAAAAAGGCCTCGATCCCAGCATTGCCGATCAAATAGGAGAATATGTTAAGTACAAAGGTAATCAATTACTAATCTTCTTATATGATTTTGATGCTGAATTTCGAATGAGCTTTGAAACTCTAATTATTCTTTGGGTCTCGATAAAGGGGGTCGAGAGCTTCTAGAGAAACTTATGAACGATCAAAAATTAAGCTCTAACAAGAATGCTAAAACGGGGATGGACGATATGAAGATATTGTTTGATTATTTGGAAATATTTAAAATCTTGGATAAGGTATGTCCTTTATGTGTGATATTTATAGGATTTTCGATAAATTTATTAGTAAACTTGAGTTGTATATTTTCTCTAGGTCTCATTTGAGCTTTCTCTTGCTAGAGGTCTAGATTATTACACTGGTATTATTTATGAAGCAGTTACCGAACAATCAGGGCCACCAAGTAAATAGTTTTATCACCGCTGTTATACAAATGATAGTAAAATCCGTGAAATATTTATATAGTTATTATTTAATAAATATATAGCACTCGCAGATGGCACTCAAATCACACGCAAGACTAAAAAGGAATCCGACGAGCTTGACGAAAGCACTGTCGGGGTTGGATCCATCGCTGCCGGAGGTCGTTACGATAATCTAGTCGGTATGTTCGCCAGTAGCAAAAAAGGCAACATACCGTGTGTCGGTGTGTCAATCGGGGTGGAACGGGTATTCTCGATCCTACTCCAGAAAGCAAAACTGGAAGAAGTTAAAGCTAATGAAGTCGAGGTTTATGTGATGTCTGTGGTTGACGGGTTATTGGAAGAACGAATGAGAATATGTGCAGAACTTTGGGATGCTGGAATAAAAGTACATTTTTATCTTCTTATTGATTATTTATTAATATTGAGTACGACACTTTATTGTTATTTTAATTCATTGCAAGTTTTTTAATGGTTTTTTTTTTTGATATTTCAGGCTGAATTTATGTATAAAGCCAAACCTAAACTTCAAGCCCAATTTAGCGTGTGCGATCGGGATCAAATACCTTTTGCGGTTATAATCGGGAAAGATGAGTTGTCGCGTGGCGAGATAAAGGTTAAAGATATGAGATCTAAAGAACAAGGGGAAGGCGGAGGCGTACTTGTGAAACGCACCGAAATGATTTCAGAATTGAAAAAACGATTGCAGGCTTTGTCTTCATGATATTTTAATGCATTTTATTTATTTATTTATTTTCGCTAGAATAATTAGTTTTCGTTAATTCTCGGCGTCAAGTATAGTGTTCGTTTTGATAACGATAATATCAATTCGTGTTTAAAAAACCTTAATCCTCACTAAGTTAATGCTAATAAAGTAAAATTTTAGAGATCATTATCTATTCGCTTAGTGTCATTCGTCAGATTTCTTTAATATGTGGGCCCAAAAGAATATAACTGAAAGAAGTTCCTCTTATTCAGAATCTGACTCTGGTAGTCATGATCGAGAAATAACTGAACTAGCAGCTGCGCTTCGAGAAGTTCTTAGCATTAGTACACCAAGTGCTGGTAGTGGTGGTAATAGTAGAGCAGCAGCAGCAGCAGAACAGCGATTAGTTTCAAAAAGACGTGCGGCTCTAAAAAAGACAATAAAGGCAATGAATTCAGGTGTAGATGTTTCTTCGTTATTTAATGAAATGGTTAAGGTACTGTCATTATCATTATCCAACGAAGTATAAGAAATATAATATTAAAGTAAAAAGGTCAATTGTAATTATTTGATACAAAAAGGCTGCATCAACCAAAGATTTAGTACAGAAAAAATTGGTGTTTCAATACATTGTTGCTCAAACGCAAAAAAATACGGATCTCGTAGCTTTATCAATAAATACTATTCAGCAAGACCTTCACGATAAAGATCCATTAGTGAGAGGATTAGCTCTGCGTACTTTATGTTCTATGAGGTATTGATTTAGCATCTATTGTTGTCCTATATAAATAATATAAGCAACACATTATACAACTTTTTTATCTTTATCAAGGATTTCAAATCATGTTGAATTAATACTTGAAACTGTTCATCGTGGATTAGTTGATCCCAGTTCTTATGTACGAAAGACGGCAGTTTTCGCGTGCTTGAAACTATTTCACATGTCTCCACGTCATGTTTTAGGTTCGCTTTCTTCACAATAGACAAGCACTAGAGTTTTATCATTATTTTTATCATATTCTGATGATTTATTTATTTATTTTTCAATAATAAAATTAAAGACACGGGGCTTATAAAAGAACTCTATACTTTGCTACGAGATCGTGACACCATAGTGATTGCTAATATTGTTTCCGCATTGAATGAAATTCTTGCTTCGGACGGTGGGATAACGATCAACAAAAATATTGCGCATTACTTGTTACAACGGTTACGTGAATTCAATGAGTGGCATCAATGTTTGGTGATCGAGACTCTGATAAGATATAAGCCTGAATCTGACAATGAGGTGTTTGCAATGATGGTATTGTCATTTTTCTTATTAAACAAAAAAGAACGAGAACGAAGAGGAGATATTAATGGCATGAGATTTTTGTACAGAATATTTTAGATGATCGACTTAAACATCATAATAGTGGTGTACAGCTTATGACTCTGAAGCTTTTTCTTCATTTAACTAAAGAAATGCCGGAATTGCATCAGGATGTTTACAAGAGATTTAAAGGTAAGCATTCTTTTCATTTAAATATGAATCATGTTTAATTATTCTTATGATATATTATTGAATTTCCTTTTTTTTTTTCTGAAAAGATGTCTTATTGACCTTATTATCGTTGGGCAAACCAGAAATTTCATTCTCATCTTTAACACATGCAAAAATATTGGCTATGAATTCTCCAAATATTTTCTGCAAAGATTATAAATATTTTTATCGAAGGTAGAAATCACATAATTAAATAGCGCTTAATTTGTGTTATCGCAATCAATTTATTTTCAAATAATGTCCATAGAGTCAAAGAACCATCTTTTGTCACGATGGAAAAGCTGAACATTCTTGAATTAATCGTGACTGAAACCACAGCCAAAGAAATTGTCGACGAAGTAAGGTCAGATATTTTCACTCGTTTTACTTGAATAATTAATTTAATTAATTCTATTCTCTTTTGTTGTTATTATTATTTAGTGGATATATTATAGAAACTTCTGGTCCGTTGAGAAGGAAATCAATCAGCGTTGTTGCTAGTATAGCCATAAAGTACAACAAAATCCTGAATTATTCGCTTGAAATATTTATGAGATTATTGGAAACAACTGTCGAACCTATTGTCTTGGAGATTCTTAGCTGTCTTCAAGGTATTCCTTAATAAAAATAAAAATAAATAAAATAATATTTCGAATCTTTATTAACAAACTGTTGATTGACTTTCAGGATTCGATTACATCATATTGAAAAATATAAAGAGTTTTCCGCTAGTTTTGATCTCAATATGGCCATCAATTGATTTCGAAAAATCTTCACCGGTCGGACTTTTATTTCTGAATTTCTTGGCGCTGTTTGGCAACGAAATCTTGGAAGCGCCTTATATAGTGGAATCATTCATCGACACCTTGGAAAAATATCAAAATTCAAAATTTCGGATTCAGCTGTTAAACACCACTGTTTCGTTGTTTCTGAGAAGACCGGGCGAGTGTCGTGAAATGCTTGGCAGATTATTCAAAGCAACCATAAAAGATGATCAAGAGCAACAACAATCACTTAGTGTTCGTGAAAGAGGATTATTTCTGTATCGATTGTTGCAGTCAGATATTCAGATGGTATTTATTATTGATTTTTGAAGATGGTCTTTTGTGTATGGTTTCGGAGAATTAATTAAGTTGATGCCTTCTCCGATTCTCCCAAAATAGGCGAAAAAAATTTTTGTCGAAAGTATTGATGCTGATATTCTCAAAGAAGGTGACGGTAACATCAAAGATAAAAAAATAAATGAGGTAGTTATATTCAATTTTTTTCGTTAAAAACATAATACCTTCTTTAATTTATTATACTAAAATCGTTATTCTATCTTTCTACAGGATACGAATATTAATCTGCTATTAGATTTCAATACACTTTCGGTAGTATACGGGGAATCCTCAGATAAATTTCTTGTGACTGAATTTTATTCCTCATCCAATGCAAATAACAACGATTACTTTGATACGCAAAATGATGAAGAAAAAGAGTTTGTTGATTCATTAAATGTTATAACAAAGGTGAAGGAATACTATTTGTATTTGCTTTTTTTTTATAGAAATGTTAATAACCTTTAAATGACTTGTGCAGGCACAGGAAGAACAATCATTACTGGTAAAACAACAAAATCAGGAATCTATGAACCTGACCGATTTTTCTCCGGAATTATGGGGTTCTGCGACTTCAACAAGGTATTGATTTTTTCCCATCATCCATAAAATAAAAATTTATTTTTACATTAATGATAATTACCATTCTCAATAAGAAGCAACTCAGCAATCATGATTCCTCCTTATCATCATTACTCGGAAACGTCTCCTTTTCTTGATGATATTGAAAGTGCACTTGAAGAGCGTTATGGTCAGACTGACGATTAATCCAATTTTCTATTTATTTATTTTGTTTAAATTTTGAATATGAAAAGATGGAAAAAATAGATGAATTTTTATTTCATGACTTGTATTTTTAAAATTATAATTAAAACCTATAAGTTACAAAAGATATTAATGCTTTTATTCATCGAGGGAAATTTGACAACTTTTTAATCTGTTCAAGTTTACATTAATACTATAACGAACCCTGCAACCATCCAATACTATAATTAAATCATGTTTTTGTATGCTATTAACTATACGTTAACACAGATATCCCCAAGACTCAGAAATTATTAAATTTTTCTCTTTAGATACACACATATCCATTGCGAAAAATACAATTAAACTATCGTAATTATTAAATTATAAATATTTAATATTATATTATGAAATCATGATGCCTACAGTATGGCTATTAGTATTGGATAAATGTTTATTGATCCCATTGATTTTTCGTAACGGCATCATTCCAGCTGAAGCTTGTATAAATCCAAAGAATGTTGGAACAGGTTTCAATGGTCGACTTAAGTATTCGGGATGATACTGAGTGGCCACGAAAAATGGATGATCTATTCATGCACAAATTTTATGAATTAAAAAAAATAAATTTATTAAAGTAATATTAGGTTAGAAGAATGGAACCATATATTTATTTACCTTTAAGTTCCAAGATTTCCATACGATCACCCGTTTCATCACGACCTACAAACATCAACCCTTGCGTCTCCAAGCGCTCAACAATCACTGGATTAACTTCGTATCTGTGACGATGTCTCTCCTCGATTAATGTTTTGCTAGAGCGTACACTTTCCATACCCTTTAGGCTATTTTCTGTTGAGCCATTAATTCCGAAATCTTCCGTGAAATGATTATGATGATGATGATGACCATTTAGTGCCGTTTGTGTCGTTCCATTACCGAGAACCCTGAATCCATTGCTGGTGATTTTGGTATTACTTTTGCCCAGTCGAATCGTACTGGTCTCGGTTAATTTCATTCCATTTTCTGTTGTGCCATTGATACGATTCTCTTTTTCTTTCGTGTAAATAAAATAAAGTGAGAATAATGTAATATAATAATGAGAATAATCACATGTAAAATTCTTACGAATATCTAGAAATTTTCGAGCGGTTACTAAAGTGCGCTCATCCGATTCATAATATTTATCTAAGGACGAAATAAAATTATCAATATCTAAGCCATGAAATTCTATAATGACTAATCGAATATTTAAAATTGAATATTCACAAATTTTGGACCACGATTCCGATCCATCTTGAAACTTTGTTGGTCGTAATCCTAATCTCATAGTTCCACCAAGATGTGTCCGAGAGACTTCAGGCATATAGACAATCACCTTGTGATCTGTTTCGGGGTCAAGTTCTTCTGAATTTGCATCTTTGATTTTGATTGAACATTATATATTATTATTTATAATATCATTGTCGTGCCCCAAAACACAATTGTCCAATCGGCCCAAATTAGAATAGAGGTATGACCAGAATTAGAGTGAGGGTACAGGTTAGTGTGGAAAAAGATCTACATTTTGATTTGGGACATATCCCAATTGTGCTTTGGGGCACAGCATCATCATTGTCAATCTGAAATTTACCTATTAAGCCACAAACATCTCTAGCAAACTCGATCACAGCAATTTGAAGACCAAGACAAATCCCTGTATCAATAAAATTTCAGCATTAAAATAATCGATAAAATACTATAAATAAATAAATAAATAAAAACTCACCCAAATATGGAACTTTATTCTCTCTCGCCCATTTAGCAGCCGCTATTTTACCTTCAGTACCACGATGTCCAAACCCTCCAGGAACAAGTATACCTTCAGCAGCGAATATATTATCCCATGCTTCACGGTATTTTCCTGGGTCGTTTTCTTTGGTTTCTAATTCGAGATCAGTCGCTTCAATCCACTAAAAATTTAGAATTGTGTAATTAAAAGACGTACAATTCTCTGTTAATAGAAACTAAAAAATACATTTCTTCATACCTTAATTATTAATTTGCGTTCACAAGCTATCGAGGCATGTTCAAGTGCTTGAGTGACAGAGAGATAAGAATCTTGCAAATATGTGTACTTTCCAACAAGGGCAATAGTCACAGTTTTTTTCAAAGAAGCGTGACTAAAACAAACCAAACCATGATTAATCCTGAATAATGCTATAAATTTAGAATCATAACCAATTACATACGTTTCAGTCAATGTTTTCCAATCACGGAACAAAGCCTCGCCAGATTCACAATTCTTGGGACTAATGCACAGCTTATCCAATTGAAGCCTTTTTCGCAAGTAATTAAGGGTACCTTGTTCTTTAAGAAGTAATGGAACCTTGTACGTGGAAGATACATCTTGCACGGAAAGAACCTATGAAAATTAAATCATCGTAGATAAATTAATTAATTGTACATGTATTAATTGTATTATTTATGAATCTCACCTGCTCAAGATCAACACGACAATAAGTAGAGATTTTAGCCTTAACGCGCGACTCTAAAGCTTGAGCGCAACGACAAGCAATCTTTTGAAATCATATGTTAATTTTGAATCAAAAAATTTAGTTAATATTTGCATTAAGTCACATTGATACATCGGTATATTTTGAGAGATACAATTACCAAGTCTGGTTTTAGACCTAAAGCTCGTAATTGCCGAACAGTAGCTTGTGTGGGTTTGGTTTTTTGTTCACCAACAACACCAAGCACTGGCACCAAAGAGACCTGAATAACAGCGAAATTTTCACGGCCAACTCGATATTGGAATTGTCGCAAAGCTTCAATATACGGCGCAGATTCAAAGTCACCAATAGTTCCACCCAGCTTTTTATAGCACACAAATTACATAATTAATTAATTAATTAATTAATCAATCAAAATATCATAAAATCAGTCGGTTAGTTACACAAGATTCATTCACCTCGATAATGCAAATATCAGGCTCTTGACTAGATTGGTCTACTGGTATTTTCGCAACGCGTTCTATCCAATTTTGAATGGCATCTGTTACATGTGGCACACTTTGAACATTTTGACCAAGGTAATCGCCTCGTCGCTTCATTAAAAAAATTATGAAATAAATTATAAGATTCCACTCATGTTTTCCACATGTTTATGCGCAAGAGATTTATTTTAACGCTTCCTAGACATAAAAAGGTGAAGTTTTACCTCCTTTTCAATAACAGTCTGAAATATTTTCCCAGAGGTTATATTATTATCCCTCGTCAAGGTAATATCAAGAAATCGTTCATAATTGCCAAGGTCAAGATCGACCTCTGCGCCATCATTCAGGACGAAAATTTCACCTGACAAAATAATTAAGGAAAAAACGAGCTTGTTAAACTAAGATTGGACACATTACGCGTCATGTATTAGCATGTATTTGATTTTCGATATGCTCAAGGACGCGATGTATATGTGAATTTTTTTGAGATGCTCGTAAAGTCGCGTATTCTCGCGCGCGTCAGATTTTTTAGTCATTTGAGTAAATTACCGTGTTCGATAGGATTCATAGTTCCAGCATCAACGTTAATGTAAGGGTCAATTTTTATCGCCGTCACTTTTAGTCCAAGCGTTTTGAGAAGCAAACCAGTAGAAGAAGCGATAACACCTTTTCCGATTCCCGATATGACACCACCCAAAATTAGAACATACTTCATTTTTTAAAAATTTTATTTATTTATTACTGGGGTTTTGTTTATTGTCAAGGTATTTTATATTAAGAGATTATTATTTATAAGAATGGCAAGAATACAAAGGTAATGATTTGAATGAAATTATAGTTTACGAAAATGGAATGTGGTAAATTTTAAATTTGGTGCCCAGTTTGTCTTTGAAACAACTGGGAAAGAAACCAAACAAAGAAAATTTTTCAGTTTTTTATGTGACGCGACTTGTTGTATCACGTGCTTCGCAAAAAAATATTCGTTCGTTGCGACCAGGCGAAGCCTGCCACCATCACCCTAATCGAAAATAAAACGTATGATCACTGATCTCTCTTTTTTTTTTACCAAACAAGCACCTCGAATGAAAATTAATTATTTAGGAAAAAGATGATCCGGCAAATAAATTTTTTTAATTTTAATTCTAGTTTCTAGTTTCCGGTTTCTGGGCTAATCATTCGATAACAAGAATAATAATATTAAAAAAATACTATTATTTGGCGCCATCAATGAACAGACTTCAACTTCTCACGCGTGCAATTATCGCCAAACCGTTATCCGTGAATACGCTGGTTGCTGTTCGTTATCCCCCTTCTTTTGGGCGACTTTTAACCATAAATGGTACCTATCTTTGTTAATTTTTTGACGGCTGGGTGGTAGTGCTATTAGTAAATATGCTACCTTTGCCCGCTGTTTTATAAACAAATATTTTTATTTTGTGACCACTAAATTACATTAAATGCGCAACAAAAAGGTCCGTTTTTAATATCTCGTAAATAAATCGTCACCGTTACTAACAATTCGAGAAACACATATTACACTCCACAGGCATCCGTTCATACTCGAGCGGACATGAAGACGAGTCATTCGAAGCCTTCACCGAACGTTACGTAAAGCTATTCGAGGGAGTAGACGACCTATTCGAATTACAAAGAAATCTAAATAACTGTTTTGCCTATGATCTAGTGCCCGCCCCGTCAGTTATTGAGGCGGCGTTGAAAGCCGCGAGGCGCGTCAACGATTTCCCGACGGCCGTGCGAATTTTTGAGGGACTAAAGGAGAAGGTGGAGAATAAAAACCAATATAATCAGTATCTGGAGGAGTTGAAACCTGTGCGCGATGAATTAGGTGTCTTGACAAAGGAAGAACTAGGATTGGAATGGAAATGAAATAGATAATAATTTTTGTTGGTTCTGATGATCCCCGATTGTTTAATTAAATCTTTCAAGGTATTGTTTCTTTGGGAGAGTGTGATTAACTGAATTTAATTTGACTATTTTGCTTAATACTCGGGTAAGCGATATTAGATCGAATATTATTAAAATTACGAAAATTTTTTATTATAATGTCTCTATCTTTGTCTCATCGCGTCCTTCTTTTATGTGCTTTTATTCATGGTATCATTTTACCCTGTATAATTAATTACATGCTATTATATAAATTATATAAATTATATGAATTATATTTTGCTCTGTATCTCATGAATCCTTGCATCACCAAAAATTCTTCCAATCAAATTTGAACTCCAAAAGACGCGAAAAAAAAAATAAAAAGTATCGCGTACAAAGTTTCTAATTTTTTTTATATTTGCAATTACTATTTTAACATGACGAAATACATATTCTTCACCTACGGCATAATCGCGGGCTACCAAAAAGGATTGCTAGCCGCTTCCACAGCACTACTATTAAAGAGTTTGGGACTAAAGGTGACTGCAGCACGAATAGATCCATTTATACAGCTTGACGGCCGAAACCTCGATCCTGGCTACAATTATCTGTTAGAGGATGGCGGGATAGCTGTTGAAGAATTGGGCAACTATGAACGGTTTTTGGACACGAATCTTGATATATCACAGTATATTACTAGTGGACAAGTGTTCAATGGGCTTGTTGAAAAAGAAGTGTGTCATTCATTTTGTGCTCAATATGAATTAATTTTCGTTGATGACAAACATTTTTGGGGGGGCTAATATTATTTTTCTGAATAGCGTGCTGGTGAATTTCTTGGACGGTCTGTGTTGCTTGTTGGTGATGGCACTGATAAAATGCAAGAGTTTATTGAAAAGGCTGCGATCGGATCTGATATTTGTGTTTTTGAGGTTTATAATTCTTTAAGAAATATTCTCTAGAATTACAATATCGAATTTTTCATGCTCACTTTATTTTACGACGTACACGTATATTTGACTATAGCTTGGCGCGGAAATTGATCTTCCAGATACACAAACATGGTTAGAAGCCATTGATGAATTCCAAGATAAAGTTGGTGTCGAAAATGTGGCATTTGTACACGTTGTGCCGTTACTTGCATTACCGAATTCGAGCGTCGCCACTATCACAAAACCAGCTTTCGATAGTCACCGATCGCTTATTACAAATGGGACAACCCCGGACTTGGTATCGTAATTATTGCTGAACATTATTTTGAAATTCTTTGTGATTAATTTGTTATAATTTCAGATTGCGTGCATTTGCTCAGGCGAGTTGACTGAAGCTATTCGTGAAAAGATCTGCTTTGAACCAACCAAAGTTTGTGTCGATTATATATATTCCTTTGATTCTTTTATTTCCCGATCATCAATTTTTTATTAATGTCACCATTGTTGTTATGGTAACAGGTGATCCCTATATACGCAGTTCCTACCAGCTACCATCTACCATTCTTACTAGAACGCGAAAACGTTTTAGAATTTCTCACGAAACGCCTACGGCTAGATTTGATCGATATAGACCCGAAGCAACTAATAATTGAGAATGAATCTCTGGGGAAATGGAAAAACGTTATTCAAGAGTGAGTATAGCTAATAATTATCTCGGTGATTTCAAAATAATCATGTTAATCTCGAAACCAACAATTTTCTCATCGATTACAGTTACAATAACGCTACGAAATTCGTGACGATTGCTATAATCGGTAAATTCAAGAACCAGCAAGATCTTCATCACTCTATTTCCCAAGCGTTGGAACATGCTTCAATAGCGTGCGGAAGAAAATTAATACTTAAGGTAAATAATCTTAATTTGTATAACCAAATTAACTTTGTTGTAAATAAAAATTAATAGAAGGAAAATAACCTATATGATCTAAATTATACGACTGACCCCTCTTCCCTTTTTAATAATTACTTAATTTTCATCACTTAAATATAACTTATATTGGTCTGAAATAAAAATAGTGGATTGAAGCAACCCACTTGGAACCACAAAGTGAAATCAATACACCACATCAATATCGTGAAGCTTTGGATACATTATTTTCGGCTAATGGTATTCTTGTACCGGATGGATTCGCTCATTATGGAATTGATGGTATTTTGTTGGCTGCGAAATCTGCAAGAGAGCGCGAAATTCCTTTTCTTGGTGTGTATTATCGTGCGTTGAATGGATTTTTTATTCGATATTAATCTTTATTATTCAATAATTATAATAGGAATCTCTCTTGGATTTCTTGCATCTGTCATGGAATTTGCGCGTAATGTTTGTGGTCTAACTGGTAAATCATTTTTTATAATTTGATTGATAAATTATGCCTGTTTTTTCTTAATCTAAAACTAATATTTGTTTATTATTAATCAAAGACGCGAATTCCGAAGAACTTGATAAAACAACGACACACAAAGTCTTTATAAAGGATAACGAAGTGCTTGGACGCCATCACACTAATTTCCTCGATGTATCCGAATGTTGGTCAAAAATTAGTTTGTATTTCCGTTTTCGTCTTTATTCCTTTTTCACGTTAAATATTTTAACAAAAATTTCACATACAAGTTAATAAATATTGTTGAATCCTCAAAAGGACGATTATACGAAATTTCAAATAATCCACAATCAGACATCAAAATCATATCAGAACGCCATCATCACCGATACAAGTTGAATATCGAATATCTTCAGTTCTTGGAGGATGCCGGATTGATTTTTGTGGGAAGCAATGAGACGGCCGAAAGAATGGAGATATTCGAGCTTAAAGGTATCTTTTTAACTTCTTAATCAAAAAAGGATAAGCTAGCGGAGAATCTTTATTTTATGCATAAAATAAATCCTCCTTGTTGTACAGATCATCCATTCTATGCCGGTACACAATTTCATCCCGAATATAAAAGTCGTCCGTTTAATCCTTCTCCGGTATTTTTGGGCTTTGTTTTAGCTTCGTCCGGGTTATCGATACAATGGTATATGGAAAAACAATCAAGGAGTAAATAATATTTTTTTAATAATTATTGTAACTTTAACAGGTAATAAAATGAATAGGGCTTTTGATAATTCTTTGCCATTTTTAGTACATGTAATTCCACAAGTTTTTTAAACAATGATCATTCTTTTCTAAAAAAAAAAAAAAATAACCTTTAATACAGCCAGTTAGGACAAAATTTTTTAATAATATAATAAATATATTCGTGTATATATATATATAAAACGTTATTACGTTGTATATAATAAAAGTTGTCGCCCGATCAAGAGTGCAATATATTACGCACGTGATATTAATTGTCAAGCAAAAAACGGATACAAAATGGTTAGAATGGTCACACGTAAAAAAAGATATCCATAGTATCGTTCTTAAAAAGGCATTATTAAACGGAGTAATTCATGCAGTGACACCGAATTTTATCTTTCCAAAGAATGATTGGTTACAATTCCGCACCGCCTTCTTACATAAATGTGGATGTTTAAACCCTTCGCGTGTATAAATGGGCGATCTTGACATTTTTATCGTTATGTCAAGAGAAAAGCTGCACGTTAATGATTGATTGATCATTTTTGATCATTGTAACAAGCTTCGTTCTCGATTCAAAATTGAATGATGTATCACACGATGCGCACACATATTTTAAGAATTTAGGTATCATCGGGTTTTACTTTATTACTTATATACTTAACTATCACACACGCACGAGCGAACACAACATCATTATCATTATGAGTGTGTAACTTTGAAATTAAATTTTGTGCATATGAAATTTTTTTGGCAATAGTTGTTGGCAAAGTGTAGTGATAGCGATAGTGGTATATTTTCGTTCCTTCTTATTTATTTCTCCCTTAAAATATTACCCGTCTTACTAACTAATAATAAATAAGAATATCCTTTTTACCAAATAAAAATTCTCTATAACACGCACACATACACACTTTCGCATATATTCCCTTCACGCACGCACACGCACTCGCAACTCTAAACGCACATCTGTCCACTCCACATAAAACTCGACTAATTCCACCATTACATATAAATAGAAATACTAAAGATGGCAGCAATTGGCCGGCGCATTCCTCTCGTCTTGACAGTTCTCCTCCTCTTTCTGCTTTTTACTGCGTTCTTTCTTACACATCCACCATATCACTTTCATCAAAGCACGATAAATACATGGTTAGGTCCTAGTGTTGCCATTGTCCTAGTAGTGGATAAGAATGACACATCTTCTGTCGTGACAAGAGAGGAGACCATAGAGAATAAACGCAAATATGCGGAAAAGTTTGAGTATGTGCTTGTGGTGAAAAATATGAAGGAACAAGCGAGGGCACCGGTAAGTGTTAATTCAAGTTCATTCCGATAATTATCGGCGTCATCTAAGCAAAGGTAAAAAAATCTTTTTTAGACATGGGCAAAAATACCAGCGTTACTTGAGACGATGGAAGAGTATCCATCTGTAGATTGGCTATGGTGGATTGATGCGGTAATTATATTATCTTCAATTAAAATAAACAAAAATAAAATAAATAAATAAATAAATTTTAATACATGTCATTTTGATTAGTCTGCTATGATCACAAACTCTTCATTACCGATCACCACAAACATCCTTCGCCACATCGACTCCACTCATTACGACGATCGACAGCTACTCATAGGATACGACTGCTTCGGTATAAACACCGGGTCTTTTCTAATTCGTAATTCAGCGTGGTCTAAAAAATTCCTACGAACAGTTTATGGTCCGAAATTTTTGGAATATGATAATGAAGAAAGTGTGATGCAGAAATTGATCGATGATGAAGCGATCGAGGTTGCGGAAAAAGTGTTTTTTGTACCATTAGTATGTATTGATTAATCTACCTCGTGATCACTTTCTTGATATCGCTATCGTTACGCTGAGTATTATCTATTTCATGTAATTAATCAACTTTGATTTTTTTTTTATTAAAATAGCGAACGTTAAATTCATTACCACCAACCATGTGCGATAAAAAAGTCAAAAATGTCGATCGTTATACATGGCACAAGGGAGATTTCGTGATCAATCTATCCGGATGTGGCGGAAAATCAGGATTAGACTGTGACAAAATAACGAGAGATGTCTGGCGACATATGAGCACAGAATCATTTAATCGGGATCATTCATCATCATCGTCTTCGTCTTCATCACAATCTTCACCATCGAGAGTGAGAAAATCCTAATCTCAACATCACCGACATACATACATAAGGACACCCTTTATACATAAACCATGAACTGATGATATACATACATATATGCACATATAATATCAAAAATTTTACAAGATACATATATGTGTGTGTGATGTATATTTAATTTTATATATAATTTCATTTGTATTCGAGATACATTGTCAAAAAACTGTGCATTTAATTTCATTTTTGGGCGCCATAGAATTCCTCTTTTTTTCAACATAATTCCGAACAATCATTCAACCCTCAAAAATTTTTATTACCTTTAATTATTAGAAGTAATTGTGTACTAATTAATTCATTACATTAAAATAATTTTTAATTTATAATAATAGCGGTTAATAATTTGTCATGTTTATTAGTAGTTATTTTATTTTTATTATTATTATTATTATTATTATTATTGTTATTATTATATAGATATACTCTGTATTCGTAGGAACAATTCATTCAATCTTTTGAGTGGTTATGAGTTTAGCTAAAAATCTAAATTCTTTTATAATAACTATGGATTTTATTCCAGTGTTACCAATAAAAAAAAAATCGATTTTGAAAATTCACTTGATATTCTTGATCTAGTTATTTTCTTATGAAATATTATATATATATATATAAAATTGTAATTTTTATAATAATAATAAAAATAATTTGTGCAATTATAAATATCTTGATATACAGTGACAATCAAAAATTTAAGTGTTGCATTATTTTTGATTGCCATTATATATATAAGTTTATAAATTTATATTATTATATTATATTAAGAGATCTCTTATTATAACAAGAATAATAATATATAATTTAGTATAAAATTATTCATATCTCAAATAATTTATTTTTTAAAATAAAATTTTTAATTAAATTTTATTTAAATATTAAGATTTATTTTAGAATATATATATCTTTTAAGAAAATTATATTCATATCTGTAATATTAAATATTATTTCATGATTAAGAATTAGAATTAATAACTTAATATTAATATTTATTATAAATTTTATTAATAAACTTATTATTATTATTATTATTATTATATTAATAATTTTAATATTTACTAGCTATTTTATATAATAATATTATTTTTTATAATAAAAATTATTATAATTATAATTTATTAAATCAAATTTATTATTTTATATGGTCCGGTGCAAAAGATTAGTACATCAAATAAATATTAATAAATTATTTTTTCAAAATAAAATTTTAATTCTGTTTTATTTAATTAAGTTATTAAGTGTTAGAATTTATTTAAATATAAAAATTTTTATTATATATCTTTTATAAAAAAAATTTTACTAATATAAACTTTTTTGA